ATGAATTAGTAAGATGCTGAAAGAAACATAATGTGATTTTGATATCACAAGACCACATTTCTAAAAGCCAGGGAAGAGCTGGATACTTTTGCTTAGGAGTTAAAGAACATTGCAAGAATACTGCCTGTTTATAAATCTATGATTTCTGCTTGTGCTAAGCCAATCATATTATTCTGTGACAAATTGGGAAAGGAGAAACTACAAAATGAAGCCTCTTCATGGGAGGCTCAGCAGCTGGAGGGTCACATAGGGCTGAGGCTAAGGAAGTCCCAGATGAGTAAACAGCGTGGGCCTAACGAGTCAGCAGAGAAAGCTGACTGGTGGGGAAAGCAGAGGAAGGAAAGGAGGCGCAGAGTATGGCTGGGTCCTGCTGATCTTCCAAAGGCCTTATCATGCTACACTTCTCATGCTTGCATTTCTATGAGCTTCCTCTTGCAACTTTAGAAAAAGAAAAAAAATCCTATCTTCAGCTCCTTAGAGAGCACTGTTCCTCTTTAATGCCAAAAGTGGAGGACAGTGTGGTGTGAGGATAGAATTTATTGTCTAAACCAGGAATCTTTTAAAAGAAAAGAGGGTGCTAGTAATTATACCAGGACAACGGCTGTAAACAATCTAGAACTGCCACAGGCAATGGGACATATGGTCATCCTCAGGAATGGTAATGTGAATTAGGAGACCCAGCTTACACACCTAACCCTACTCCTTCCTTTTCATGTGGCCTTCCATAAGTCACCTACTTATATTTCTAGTGTTATTTATATAAGTAGGTGACTTATGGAAGGTAATTGCTACCTACCATCATTCTTTTAAAAATGGTCATACTCTCAGTTTCTTTCTCTATAAAATAACAGATTAAATGATACCTAAGGTTTTTTCTTATTCTAAGTCTTTGTAATTCTGAAAAAAAGGCAACCTGGGAGACAAGGAAGATATGCAATAGGGAGCCTTTTAAGATTATATTTAGTTGTCTTTACATAAAAACAATATTTCACTAATTTGACTTTTAAAAAGAAGACTCACACAGATTCACCAATCCATGATATTTGGTAAAATGATCACTGATTATATTTCTTAAGGCATCAGTAGAACAGCTCCACAGTTGCTGAGGCTCCCAAAAGAGACCAGCTGGTACTCACTAGCCCAGAGCCTCAGGTTCTGGCAAAGGGTAGTGTATTTGCCCTGTTCATCTCATCCCTGAGACCTAATGCTATCGTCCTTCCTTGGCCTGTGAATAGGAAGCAAAACATGAACTGTCTCGTTCCTTCTCACAGTTTCCTTGCCAGCCCATCTCTTATTAGCCAGCCCGGCAACCCCATTTCTAGGAGATGTTCAAACTGTCAGCAAGTCTAAGGCCAAATTTAACATTCTGAGCTACATAGTTGTTCTCAGGCAGCAATCACATGCCCGTGTCATAGGATGTCAGAAGTTTGAAGCTAGAAGGAACCTTATCTACTATATAAGCTTTGGTTCTTAGATGAGAAAAGAATAGCCAGAAACAATAACAATTAATATTTGGGCATTGTGAAAGGGACTGTGCTAGATGCTTTACATCAATCATTTTATTTTAGTCTTGCAACAACCCTAAAGTATTCTTATTGCCCTGCTTTCAAAATGAGGAACCTGAGGTTCTGAGGGGTTCAATAATTTGCAACTCAGCTTGTTCAACTCAATCCAAGTATTTGTTAGTAATAGAAAAGAGAATTTTACCCACATTCTTCTGATTCTCAGGACACTATTCTTTCAACTAAAACGATCACTAGTAAGGCAACAGGCGTTCACTAGGTAGCTACCATGTACCAGGCACTGTGCTGGGTACCACAGCACTTAGTGGGATTACCAAATGAAATTAAATGTGATATAAAATCCTGCCTTTCTAGCATCCACAGAGGAAAAGAGATTGCTGGATCTCTACAAAGTTCTGTCTTCAGGGAAGTCAAAATGGTTCACAGGGACGATCTGCTTATTGCTCAGAATATCCCCCAGGAAGTGAGTGTGGCAGACAAAAAGGGAGGCATTTCCATGCCTCTTTTGCAATTGAGAAAATAGAAGCAGAAACAACTACAGGGTTTGCTCGATACAAAGCATTAACCTTGGAGGCCAACAATGGAACCAACTTGTCTTGGTTTCTTCCACTCTATTCATTGGCCAAAATTAAAATCTCCCTTCAATCCTCCTGGTCACCCAGGACTCAAAGACAATTATCAGTTGAGCAAATTATTATTATTATTTTTTTTTTTACACATACAGCACCCGGTATTCCTAGGTGGTCTCCCATCCAAGTACTAACCAGGCCCGACCCTTTTTAGCTTCCAAAATCAGACAAGAGCCAGCATGTTCAGGGTGGCCTGGCCGTAGATGGAGGCAAATTCTTCTGATAGGAATTTAGTAACAAAGCTTCTTGCAATTAGCCAAACCTACTCTTTTGAATTTCATCTCTTTCCTCTCTGCTCTTTGATGTAGACAAGTTAAGGTATGGACAATCTTAAAATGAAACACTAAGAACTGGGAGTATCAGAGTGGATTATATTACAACTATAATAAAGTCAAGTTATGAATTGTTCCATAATAATACTAACGGAATAATTACGGTAGCCATAAATGATCACCTATTTTATGCCTGATACTGTGCTGAGCGTTCTACATAGATGACCTCATTTAGTCTCACAACAGCACACACACAGAGGCAGATCTGGGGCTTGTGTGTAGATTATACAATATGAGGAGGCCCTTCCTAAGAAAAAGGAAATTTTGCATAGAGAATTAGGTACAGGGCCTTAGAAGGGCCAGTGCAAGTGAGAGGCCCAAAGCTTAAGCTTTGTGAGTTTCACAGTAAATGCAGCACTGTGCCCAAGAGAGCTAACATCCTCGCTTCTCCAAATAATGAAACTGAGGCTCAAAGAAGTTAAGTAACCTGCTCAAAGTCAAAAAGCTTGTAAATGGCAAGGCTAGGATTTGAACACAGGGTGTCTGACTTCAAATCACATGTATTCAAATCTTCTTTGCTTCTAAATCTTCTTTGCTTCTGCGGCTTCTCGCAAAACTAAAACTGTTATCATTTACAAAGCACTAATTATATCTCATGAAATTACACCCATTTTCCTTAATAACGCTTCTAACCTCTCTGTTTATGTGAGTCATTATTATCTCTATTTACAGATGGGGAAACCAAGAATCAATAAAGGTTAAGCACCTACCTAGCACATGGTCACTCGGCTAATACATGGTGGAGCAAGGATTCATGCCCAGGAGCACTGACCTGAAGAGTCCTACTCTTTTCCCCTATCCCATGCTACCACCCTACAAGTGATTCACGAGAGCAAATGGTAATGATGGAAACATGTGACCGCTGGTTGACTTAAGATATTCCCATATCTGTCCCCTGAAACTAGCCCTGTCATTTGGTTCCATACACTACATTGTGCAGTATTCCTTAACAAGTTTGGGCAACTCTGAAAGTTCACTTATCCTGTACTATAATTTATTATTTGGATCAGAGTCTGTAATCCCATGGCACGTGAAAAGCCAATCACCAAAAAGCAATGCAAACTCAAGCCCCCGCCAAGCTGCCTTACAGCCAACCCCCGACCCCCAGGAAGTAGAGAGCCACAGAGTATTTGGGGGCTGGTAATATCTGAGGCACTGGGGGATCACTCATCTCATAGGGCTTTCTTGTAACAGCCTTTCAAAGCCACACAAGAAAATTCATATATTGACTATAATTAGATTGCTTAACTCTGGTCACCCAAGCAAGAGTTTACATCCTTAAACAATCTTGCTGTGGATTTGCAGGTGGACAGGAGTGGAGAAGATTCAGTTCAGTTTTTCATCCTTGAACATTGGTACTCAGGGAAAACAATGGTCTTTGAGAAGCTCAGAAAATGGGCTTTCATCTTCCCTTGGCAATGCAAGCTTTAAAAAAATTAAGTTATGCTTTCCCATGGTATAAGTTGCCTTTAACTGCCAGATTTCAAGTAAATGGTGGCTTTTGGAAACCTCCGTTAAAGGAACATGTCTGTTGCCACCTGGAACAAGACAACTTTACTTGCAGTAATCAATCTGGACAAGGCCTGGATTTTTTTATCCAGTCAGCAGCAAGTGCAAACCAGTGAGAGCAATTAAGCATGCAGTTATGAGTACCAATAAGAAAGGCTGCTCCAATGATTTTTTTTTTAATGATCTCAGTAACTCTTGTTCCTCTTTCCACACAGATTGGTGATAGTGGATGAAAGTACAGAAGAAATGACCATCGGTGAAGTCAACTACTGGAGAAGTCTTCTGAAATGACTAGCTAACTCTTCAGCCCACTCATCTAGAGAGAAAAGAGAGATTCCCACACTTTGAAGAATCAATAAATGCATCTTTGCCTGAAGCTTATGGCTCTTTGAAAAGAGCAAGAATCCATGGTGAGACAAAGCAGCACAGACTTAGTACAAGATACCAAGCTGCTTAGTAGGTGGGTAGGCACAGACTTTGATGGACTGAAATGTCACCCAGCCCAGAGGCCTGGCTTTGCTACCAAAGGCTCTGCCCAGCCCAGGAAAGTAAGAACACAATAGACCACGCGCCTGCTTCTCACGCCCAGACCCACACCACTTCAAAGGCCACAGCAAGCAGCCAACAAACCTGCCTCTTCTGTGGTGTTTTTCATTTAGCTTCTTCTTGAAATGAGAAGGAAATAAGTTGGGCCCAACAGAGAGAGGGGTGTAGGGAGGGAGGGGATGGGGACAGATACACATGATAGAATGTAAGTGAAAGCCTTTTTTAAAAGTCTAGACACAGTCATTTCCGTTCCTCTCCATCCTTCTTTAACCCTTACCTACCATCCCCAAGAAGACAAGGAATAAAGGAAGGCACTAGTCCACAGTGTTTGTGGAGGTACAGATCTCCCCTGCGGAAGGTTCAGCCATGAGCTGTAAGTGTACCCCGCCCTACGCACGCGCACACAACACACACACACACACTTTTTACACACACACACACACACACACACACAGCCTCACCTTCTCGATCGTCTGGTCGACGGCCTTCTGGAAGACCCGGGCCACCAGCAACGTGACGCTGGTCACAAGCAGCAGCAAGGACAGCGTCCCCACCGCGTAGAAGCAGCACCTGCCCATTCTCCGCTGGGCTCCCGGGCCGGGCCGTGACCCAACAGGACAGAGGGAGAAGCAGCTGCCGCGGTCGCCGCAGGAGCGAAACGCCCGAGACCCTCGGGCGCCCACGGGCCGGGCGG